GCATAGAATACCTAATACAATATAAAAGCATACAGTTTACAGTTGATATGCTGTGTTATTTGCAGAATAATGACAAAAGTTTGTACACGTTCCAAATAGGTGCAGTACGTTTTCCAAATATTTTTGATCCATAATTGGTTTTACTTATGGATGTGTAACCTATTGATCTCGAGGGCAGGCTGTATTTTCATAATAGCCGTTTAAGCAGTTCTTGAGGGACAAGGAGGGAATTAGAAAATCTTTTCCTCTCTATTGATGAAGAGTAACTAATGCTAAAATCACAACATATTTCAGAACATGTTAAGAATCAGGAAACTACTACACTGTAGACACTGGTGTTTGCTGATGATCCTATGATCCGAGGCTAGAATTTGATAGACAGCTAAAGGGAGACTAAATGATGAAGATGCCAAGTACCTGCCAAGTCACATGCATGAGATTATAGAAACTAATTGCTCTTCCTGTCCTTAAAATGTTACTCAAAGGGTTACTTGTTCCAATTTGCCACTTTCTTGGATGAGTTTCCTGTCCAAGGATTGCAGAGTGTATGTGTCTGTCTTTCTGTTCTGTCACAAGGGATGCTATGTTATTTTGACACAAAGTCTAAAGTGAGTTTGGACCCTGCTCCGGGTAAGAAGCATGAAGACGAGGGGTTCGGTCACCACTGAGTGGGGCATTTGTAGGGACCAGGAATGCATTCCTTTGCTTTGCTCGGTAAAGTGAAAAAGAGAGGAAGGAAGAGATGATCACAAGACATTGAATTTCTTATTCATATTTTGAAAGACAATTTTTAAATGTTGCTATCATCTTAATGTAAGAGTTTTCTTTAGTGGCTAGATTCTCAATATCCTATTTCTTTCCTTATGCTTCTGTGGCAAAGTTTTGAACAAGAACACCTAAGTGATGAGAAAAAATCTCAAAGTATCAAAGATGATAATTGAGAAAGTAATTTTACTTCTTTCTATGGACTAGCTGTAAATTGTATGGAAGGAGATAAAACCTTGAAGAGTACATTGTAAAGAAGAGTGATCTAAAATATTATTTTTTTCTAACATTCCTTATTCTTACAGCCGTTGGTCTTAGTGTAGGAGATCAAAAAAATAATTGCTATGAAATAGCATTTTAAAAATTATTATAGCCCATAAATAAAAATGAATTCTCCAAAGGGTGTGTTGGGGAGAATAAGGGAAGAGCATTGGTTGAAGTGGGCCCAGTCTCTGGAAGGATGGAAGAGTGGAAGACTTGTTGGGTGCAAGCCACTGACTACAACATTCTGTTTATAGAGATGAATGGAAAGAAATAAACTGCAGAAAATTTACGTCTAAACATGAACAGAGAGCTGGGCACGGTGGTGCACTCCTGGAATCACAGCACCTCTCAGACATGATGAAATCAAGCCCAATTCGGCATAAAGTAGCAATATCTTTCCCAGACACCAACTTCTGATGTTGTACAAGTGTCTGCATATGCATATCGGGAAACATGCCAACACATATATTTGTATATAGATTCTTCTAAAAACACATTATTGTCAGATGTGGTGGTATATGTCTATAATCCCAGCACTCAGGAGGCTGAGGCAGGAGGACTGTTGCAAGTTCAAGACCAGGCTGAGCTGCAAAGTGAGCTCAAGGTCAGCCTGAACTGCATAATGAGACCCTGTCTCATAAAAACATGTGAGAGAGAGAGAGAGAGAGAGAGAGAGAGAGAGAGAGAGAGAGAGAGAAGAGAGAGAGAGAGAGAGAGAGAGAGAGAGAGAGAGAGAGAGAACAAACTATAGAAAGAAAGACAATAAAGAGTTTTGGGACTCTATCACGCCATAGAGCTGAGGACTTGATGTCCCTGAGCGGTGTTTCATGGGAAGTGTTTTAAGTGCCTGTCTTTATCTGCTGCTTTGTAGCTACTGTTTATTTTTCTGAGTCAGGGTCCTGCTGTGTTGCCCGGCTTAGTCTTCATCTCAAAGGCTCAGGGGATTCTTCTCTCTCAATTTCCCCAGGAGCTGGGACTATAAGCATCTAGTGCCACGCCTAGTCTTTAACAGGGGAAACTGCAACACACTGATAGAGTGTAGCTGGATGATAAAAGAACAAGCATGTGTACAGCTTCTTGATGCTCTTTAAAACAAAGCAGGATCTCAGAATATATTGCCAGCTCATACCCATGGTATCCACCATCAAAGAACAGCATATTTAAACACCACATTTGAGATTTAAGAGCACCTCTTTTACTGGAGATGATTCTCATCACATAATTTATTAAAGTTATCCATAAATCAGCAGTGATAAACATTATCATTTATTAAGCTAGTGCTTAGAGAAAATTTACTTGCATATAAACTTCTCATTAAAATATTATTTTATGGATGAGGAAATAAAAATTTTGCGTTTTCTCTACTTATAGCTTTCCACGTTGAGATATTTTATGGTTTCCATACTTCAGCTATTATTTTGGAGAGAGAGTTAGTTTAAAATTATAGTACAGCTTGGGTTGAAAAAAGCTCTGTGGTAGCTGACAGCTTATTATTTACCACCTCTGTCACTATGAACATACACATAAGACTCTGCAATCAGTCTCCCAAAGATAATATAAAACTCCTCCATACAAGTTGAGCTGACTTTGAAATTAACTCAGGGTGCTCCTGAAACCATCATATAAAAGAAACATCTGTTAGTATCTTTTTGATGTATTTTCTCAAAGAACCTGGCAAGGGCAGGCTGACCCAGCAAGTACATTTTCTGTGATGCTCTTAAATACTTCATTAAGATCACCCAACAGACGGAATAGTAAACGATGTTCTCCACTGCTTTCCTGAACAAGTACCACAGTTAGCTAGCATCAGCTGATGACTCTCCAAGAGACAAAGCTAGATTTTTAAGTCATTTTCCCAATAATTTGAAAAGTACTTGCTTCTTTTCGCATTCAGACATTCATTCATTCACTCCCTCCATACACATTTATTGAGGATCAGAGATGTGACACTGGTGGGGGCGGGGATGATGATGATAAGAACCTTGGTCCACCATGTTATCTCCTTTGCTGTCCTCAAGCATCGCCCTCTTACATGCCCTCAATTGCTTGTGCCTTGACTCCTTCAAAATCCTCTTCGTTAACACTCTGGACATGCACGCCCCATCCTCTTCAGGTTATATCACGCCCAGCTGCAGAAAAATATTCCTTGACCAAGAGTACACTCCTTTACAATCTTATCTGAATCCTCACTGTGACTAAGAGGTGAGAAAATATTTTAGGTTCATTCTTCACTGCAGTTTTTCTCACTAATATGTTGTGTAAAGCTGTGTACAGCTTCTGAATCCCTGGAATCATTATGGGGTTGCCACCTTCCTCTCCCGCTCTGCATGGATTTCTGCAAGGTACACGCTTTTTATCAGAGCAACCGCTAAAAATCCAGCTTTCAAAGACATGTCATCTTCCAAAGGAACACAGTGTTATCTGTTGCTGAAACTGTGTCTTCTTGAGTTAATGGCTCGGGTGATGCTGGACAGAGGCTGAGCGTCATGATGTTTTTCTTAAATATTTAAAACCCCTTCCTGTAGCCACTGTGGGAGGTATCTGAGCACCATTTGAGGAGTTGGGCTTTTAGTATAAACAACCCCTCCTTAAATCTACCTTTCTATACTTCCCACTTGACCCCACAGACAGTTCTTTGTATCTGAATTTGCTTCATGCACAGGTCTAGTACACTGTAACAGCTCTGAGCCACAAAGCTCAGGACACATTTCTCATGCACACCCCCGCGTGGAAGCTAACACGGCACTGTGCATATAGAAAATTCTCCACAGTAGGGTTTTGTGTGAGTGGATGTTTAAAACTTTCCCTGTGTACTCATATACTTTCTTCTCTGCCATTTCAAATGCTCTTGGTGATTCCATACTAAAATTTACATATGTGTCCATGTGTATCTGTCATGTATATGTTTATGGGGGGAAAGCTGGTGCTAGAGATGAATCAGGACCTTACTCATGTGAAGGACACACTTTACCACTGTACACATTTTCACATTTTTAAAAATACAGTGTTCTATCCATAAGTGTTTCAGAGTAATTGATGATGAAATACAGAAAACTAACCCTTAAACAAGCAAAGGATGATTCTGAAAGCAACGTAGCTTTTCTTCTTCTAAGTTGCTCACTCTTTTGCATGGTAAGTTCCTGTATACAAGTTAATGAGCTGAAATATGTTAAGTTCTGAATTATAAAGGGAAATGATGGTGACAAATATTATAGTGGAGGCTAGTATTCCTCTATGCCTTCAATGTAGCATAACTGCTATTAGAGATAATATAATCAGTGATAGAATAAAGGAAACTGCTGGAAGAAGTCATATTTTGGTTCTATTTTGTTTTGTTTTTTGGTGTTGGGGATCGAACTCAGGACCTCGCACTTGCCAAGCAGGCACTTGTGCTTGAGCTAACCCCCTGGCTCAGAAGTCATATTTTGAAAAGAAAGTAAACTATGTTATGTTGTCCTGAATATCGTCTTTAAGTACCTGTCTGAGAAAGTTAGAAATGGTTCCTGTGTCTGTACATGTATGTTCATTGTGTTTTTTCTTTTGAAGGTTGTGGAGATGGATTTCACATATCTTTCTATAAAGTAAATAGATTTCTAATCAATCCTTAAATTTAGGCTCACTGTCATTCAGGAGAATCAAAAAGAAAACTGAAGTTTTTTAAAAAATAGATTAAAATGCTGATAGTTTCTAGCAACACACACACACACACACACACACACACAGAACCATTTGTCTGTAAAACTCAAAGCAATAAAAATTAAACAGGGCAATGAACGGAGACTACAACTCATTTGGGTGAAGTCAGACTAGCGACCATGTTTTTTCTCTCTCTTTGGTGCCTATTTCTCCAGACCAGCTGGAATTTCAGCCCTGACCCCAGTGAAAGAAGATAAGCGTGGTAAATTAATTCACTTTCAGACTGCACTGACTACAAAGCAAAACCGAGAACCAGCACAGTGGGCCCAAGTTACCTGCTGTTTCTCTGTCAGCTGAGGTCAGCTCTCCGTTGATCCCGTTCTCTTTGGTATCTGAATAGGGGCCCTGGGCCCCGTGGTCTCCGTAGGCAGCCTCCTCATCCTCTCTGTATGGGAATCCATTGGCGCTGCGGACAAGTCCTTCCCCGGCCCCAGCCTGGTCCTTGATTTCTGGTGGATGTGGGTGTGCAGATGCGTCTGCTAACTGAGCTGAGGTCCAGTGCGGTGCCTTGGCCTCGTCTTTCCGTTCATCTGCCATTCTTCAAAGCTGTGCAGTTTCTGCAGTTGGAACAGGAAAAACAATAACCATCCATCACTTTGGGGAAATCTGATCTCATACCAGTAGTATGGTATGATCTCATACCAGATTGGCAAAATCTGGCACATAATCAGTGGTTTGCTACCATCAAAAAGGTATTTCAATACCCTCTTCCTTATTTTTATTTTTTATGGTGCTGGGAAATGAACCCAGGATCTTGCACATGTATTCTATCGTTGAACTATGTCCTCAGCCCTCTCTACTTTGAGTCAAGGTCTTACCGGCTGTCATGCTGACCTCAAACTTGCAATCTTTCTGCCTCAGCCTGCTGGGATCACAGGCATGTGCTACTGCACCTGGCCCAATAATCCTCTCTTAGTATCAAGAGCACATCATTGCTGATTCCCTATGTAATACAGTTTCTACAGTATTTATCCCTTTAATATATGAGGACTATCATTCTACATGTATTCTTAGGAAAGCTAATGTTTGGCATTTAAGGACAAATCTTAATTCACTTTCACTGACTTAAGGTCTTGAATATTGAGTATCCATTAAAGGCAATGGATCCTTCAGCCTAGGGGAAGGAAGTCTGCAATAGGGGAAAAAAAACTGGATAGAAAGAGTGAGAGAGAAATGATTAAGGTCATTGCAAATCATTCTCAGATCACTCTTCAAAGAACAACCTTCAGTGGAACCTTGGAAAGACAGTGGCTGATCTTTGGGTTTAAAAGTTCAATTTAAGTCACAGACAGACATGGTTTTCTGAACATTGTAAATTAAGACAGTTCTGACTTAATTTTCCAATAGACTCTCTTTATCCTTGTCTATAAGGGATGATATTTTCTATTCTACAATTTACACAGAAAAGGGATAAAAACATAGTGTCAGGCGTATATCTAATTTTACAGCAATATTTCACAGTCAAGTTAAATAAGATCTGGGAAAGCTGAATCACTGACACGCATTAGGAAGCGAACTGTCTGAGGAGGAGGTGTTCTATAAACGCTGAGCGGCTGACGCTGCGCTCCTGTATGGGGACACTGTCAAGTCTGGAGATGTAATTGATGAGAGGCGACTGACTCTCAGTTTGGAAAGCTGTCACCAATATTGTAGCCTCATTGATGGCTTACAGTTCCCCCAGTAGGAGTGAAGGCATGGAGATGAATGCTTCCGATGGAAACCAAGAACACTTTCCTGTTTTCAAAAATGTAAAAGCGAAGACCTCCAAACAAGTGAACAAAAACTATGTTAAGACAAATCTGTTTATTGCCGAGCCCTGTGTAGAAACACCGCACACAAATTCAGCTGCTATGAAAGTAAGCTCTTCTGTAAGATTCCCAGAGCATCTATTTGCTTCCCACTGAATTTCAGAACAGTCCTCACATCCCTCTGCTTCCCAGTCATACTAGAGGAACTAGATGAATTCATTCATTCAGATAATTCTGATTCAACAGTGAACTGTCCCCCAAACTCTTTACCAAAAGGGTTCTGTGGATCCTTTGTAAGGACACATTTGACTACGGTGTGAAGTTCGTTCTTCAAACACTGATCCAAGGCCTTGTGAATAAGAGAAGGAACATTCCTGCTTCACCACTATGGGCAAAGACCGGTATCTATAGACTAGCTTTCTTATCTGTAAAACCAGGACCATAATTCTTAGTTTATTGGCTTGTGTCACCATTTATATCTATAAGTCCCCTAGGTGCTCACATGCTCATAGTGGGGGCTGTGGGAAGGTGGCTGGATTATGGGGCTCGCAAGGGATTTGCTGTTAGGAGGTGGGGTCCGGTCAGCAGATGCAGGTCACTGCGTGTGGCCTGGAAGGGTCCATCTCCTCCCCACTCCCGTCTGTCCTCTCTGCTTCTTGGTTACAAGGCAATAAGCAGCTTTTCTTCACCAGGGTCTTCCACCAAGTCACTGACCGATCAATCAAGGACTGAAACTTGTAAAACATGAGCCAGAATAACCTCTCTGCCTTTCAAGTTGCTAGTGTTGAGTATTTTGTTCCAGCAATGAAAAAGTGACTAATATGGGTTGTTACAAAGTTAAAACAACAGTCCCTGCTATGCCCAGTAAATGATATTTATTACACTTGCCATCGTTTTACAATTATACTGCCAGTTACGATTCCATCGATCACATATAAAACATGAGAGTAGTTTTTCTGGATTTGTTAAGGTAGTAATTGGAGCTCAAAAACTTTGTCAAGTACAAGTAAAAATTACTTATAAATTTGTCCTCAGATTTTACGCAAATGCCTTGAACAAACATTCCAATCCAGACCTGGCACATGTCCCGAGAAAAGAGTCTGAGTGAAAGAATCAACCATTACGTGCGCACCTATGAAAAACGAGCTCCATTTTTATTCAGACAATCCTGTAACGCTCACCAACACACTCTCCTATTGTCTTTGGACAAATACTGGAAGACCCAATGTGAGAATCTAATCGTCACACTTCTTGAGCTGCTGTGTCTTTATATGCCTAGGCAATGGGAGAAGACAACCCAGATTCAAGTTGTGACCTTCTCAACTGCAAAATTTTGATAGATTTGCCACCAGTATCTGAACCATTACCATGCCCGGCAACTTGTCTTCACTATTCCTGAGCCAGAATTAGAATTTCCATATTCTATGCTTATGTGGTCCAATCTCTCATTCTAAATAGGAAACTTTTCATATGGGCACACATCTTGCTAAAGAGTTGCCATGAACCCACATGATTTCCCTATTTTGAACACCTAATACTAGCATGGTACTCATTAGAATTAATGAAGCAATGTACATACTTTATTAACTATTATTAGCTAATGCTTATCTTTTATTTAGTTTTTAACCTAATGTTCTTTCAATTTACTTTAGGCTCTCACTTGGAGTACATGTTACCTTTAGTTTTTATCTCTCTCTCTTTTAGTTCTATTATGGCTTTGATTTTCAGTCTTAAGGGATTCAGATCAAATAAATTGTAAGACATCACTGCTGAAATTTGCCTGATTTGTTGTTTTCACGATTAGTCTTAGGTTAAATGTTTTGGAAGGGAACACTGAAGAGCTTGAGAGATGTGTCAGCTAGACAGGTAATGTTTACTGTCAGCCTTTTGAGAGCTTTCGAGAGCTGGGCTGCTGGACACTTCCGTCTTGGGGTGGGGGGTATGTGAGGTCTCCCAAGCCATTGGCCACAGAGCCATTTTTAAATTTTTGCAGATAACATGCTTATTAACATCTCCAAGAATATCTGGGACATGTTTGGATTTGCACTTTGGCCCATGCTTAACACTGAGGGTTTTAGCCATTCAATATCCATAGTAAATAGCACAATGTAGACACTCATAATTCTCAATTAATTTGACTGTGTCCTTCCTCACCCTGAGGGCTCTTGGGAACAGATTTCCCAGGAACAGAAAATTCTCATCTTGGAGCTGAGTGTAGCTCAGTGTGGCTCAGTGGTAGTGGTATTTGCATATATCAAGCCCTAAATTCAATCCAAGTACCTGGAAAAACAAAAACAAATACAGTAACAAACCTCATCCTGACTGTAACACAGCCAATGCCTAAACAGAGAGAGTTGTATTTTGGAAATATCCATTGACAACTATAAGATAATTAGTCTTCAAAGAAGCAGGCATTTATAAAATGAATCCCTTTAGTGTTTGATGTGTAAGTGTCCTGGATTATTTTCTTCATAATTAATCAGTAAAAACTACTTTTGGAAGAAAGATAGCTAACCACACTGATTTCACTTAATACCTGAATCACATATAAATTTATGAGCAGAAAAGCACCATATAATATCCTGATATGATCATTAGGTAATATTTCTTTTTTAAAAAATTTTTAATTAAAGAAAGAAAAAAAAACAAAAAAGGGTAGAAATAATACATAATTTCAAAGAAAAGATAAACAGTAGGAAATCGCTAGTTGATGATTACATATTGTCCTCTTACAAATTGTTCAAGTTACAAAAGTGAAGCATACAAAGTGGACATTCAAACAGCAAGACTGCGAACAGTTCTGTTCAGCTACACAACAAAAACTTAGTAATATGGTTATCAAGCCTATGATAATATTTCTTTCAATGGGTGTAGGTTAATCAGATATCACGTCTTAATTTATTGGGCTTTTAAAATGTACTAGTACAACCATCTGTGAGATGGCAATCAGTTTAGGGAAATTTTGAGATACAATCCATATTGCTCTGACAAAACTACTTTGACAGAAAATATCATTTAAACAGCTTCTCTCATTTCTAAAGGGAAAGCTTCCTGAATTAAAGGAGACACTATGTGGCCATCATTATATGTGGTCACAACTTCTTAAAATATCACTCATAGGATAGTAAATTTCTAATGAAAGTTTTGGAGTCACACTTTATCACTGTTGCTCATAACATAATTAAAAGTGATCATCCTTTAATTTATTCTTTCTAATGGATTATTGTTTCTATCTAATTTCTTTGGAACTTGTATGAATTGCAGAATTAAAGAAGATAAGGAAGTTGAGTCACAAGGAAGCTCTCTACAAAGCTATACAAGGAAATCTATGAGGTACCAGGAGCTGTAACACTCTATTCTGACTTTAATGGGGAAAGACTCTTTTTCCAAGTACAGAGTCACTGGACCCATAATCTCTGGTTTGATGAAGCAAGCTGAGGAAGTTTCCCCCCATCTCTCCTGCAAAGCCTAGCTTGACAATGTGGACAAGACATCTAAGTCCAAGAAACCGATTTATAATTTATAACATACTGCAATGGGATCTTAGCTGCTAGAATTAAACCCAAATAGCAATACGAGGACTTAGTTATCTGTTATATGGGTTTAAAAAGAGAAATCTAAGACATTGAAGTGTCTACTTATGTCAGATAAGATATTCCACTGGGCTTTATCATATCTTTACTTATTACAGGGCCTCATTATTTTTTCCAATTACTACACACAGCTGGAACAGCAGGTAAGGGAAGACTTTGTGCTGTTACACATGTTAGTTAGAGATGTGTGCAGTGAACTTCCAGCTTTGTTGTTAA